TAGATGGCGGCACGGTCCTCCCGGGTCTAGCGTGGCCCTCTCTCGCCAGTTGCCAGCTGGCTTAACCCGCGCGGGGCTGGGGTCTCCAGCCGAACGCGCGGGGCTGGGGGGGGGGTAAATTTTACCCCCCCCCCCTGTTATCTCCCGAACTAACGGTCCGATTTGGAAAATTCAAACGCCAATCGAAAGCTCTCATCACGAACTACTAAAAACATGTACTTAATTTCAAGTTTAAGGTCAAGGTCAAGGTCAGGTCAAGGGTACAAATTGCAAGTTTCTACAGTATCGGCCTTGCACCGTAGTTGCCGAAGAATGGAGTCATGGACTGAGACTGATCGCCCAAAACGTATTCTTAGGCTACCAAGACAATATTCGTTGCATACAATATCATTCAGAGGTCAAGGTCAAGGTCAGGTCAGGTCAGGTCAGGTCACCAAAAACAAAATATAGAAAAGGGCATGTGCGACACATGTTTTATGGGTCATTTTACTCATAGAATTCAATAGGCACACTCAATAAGTGATATGGACCACCTCTGGATGAATTTCAGGTCGAGGTCAGGTCAAGGTCAGGTCAAGTGAGGTCAAATTTTGAAGTTGGCTGTTAAGGCCTAAAAAGGTGTCTATCTGATGCAGTTTTTCACGGCGAATCGAATGGTGCTATTTTTGTTTCCGTACGAGGTCTAGAACTTCCAAAAAAGTCATTTTTCAAAAAATTTGTGTGTCGTGACGTCATAAAATTTTGAATAACTCCCACATTTTTGAACCGATTCTTCTAAAATTTGGTATGTAGGTGCACATAGACCACTTCTCTGACATATATTCCGGTTTTTTTGATAGACTCAAAATTTTGGATTTTATAATGATTTTCCCAAAAAAGTCAGTTTTTTGAAAAAAAAAATTGGGCCAAAATCCAAAATTTTCAAAAAACCGAGATAGCCATTTGATAGACAAAGTAAAATTACGTATAACCTTTTTTTGTTACGTCTTGATTCCTTTAAAAATGAAGATGTTAGCGGCGTTTGAACTTTTGCCGTTTTTGAGGCGAAAATGACGAACATGATGTCGCTAAAACGTCAATTTCTCAAAAATTTCCGACGGATTTCGCTCAAATTTTCAGGGAACGTGTCAAATTGATGTAAGGAAAGGTACTGAAAGTTTGGCGGCGCTGCGCGCCGCCGTTTTTGAGATATCGCAAAAATTCGCGAGGGGGGTAAAATTTACCCCCCCCCCCCCCAGCCCCGCGCGGGTTAATATAGGAACGCGGGTCAAACGACGTGGAGCTTCCCGGCCGCGAACTCGCTGCCACCGAGTTAGGAGACGGACGCCTTATCCACTAGGCCACGGGGAGGACGAACATTGCATTTTAGGCCTAACATTGCATTTTAGGCTTGCTAAATTTACTTTTCGTGAAAATTTTTACTGCATTTTTGGTAAGAGCTTCTCAGATCATGATCTCATGTAATAGGGACACACAGACCAATCGGTGCACACATCAGTATACACACAGACACACACAGACATACAAACACATATCATTGACCTTGACCTAGCTTGACCTGAAATGACCACAGCCGGTAAAAACCCAGTCGGATAGTGTGACACATAGCCGTTCTAGCTGGGTTGGCACCACAAAGGGTAGCGCCATCATATGATGGGCACTGCATCGCATGTGATATTTCAACGGTGGCTCCAAACAGCAACATTTTTTATTTTAGTTTGACCTGACCTAGAAGGTCAATGATTGACCTAAGGAGATAAAATTGGGTACCATTGGAATCGTCTCTTCCCTAAAAAAATATGTTGGTTTTTGCCGCTATGTATCTCCAGTAGAAACGAAATGGCGCGGAGGTGGCAACCCCCCCCCCCGCCCCAATTTGCATTCTAGGATGGGAAAATGGCATGTGCGGGCGAGGGTTAAACCGAGCCTGGATAAATCTTTTTTTCAAACATCTCCCTTGATAATTCCACCTGCTTTATTTACCCTGAATGAACTATCCACAAATCATGTTGCAGATTGTGACTCAGCCTGGTTACACACAGCTGGTCAGGTTCTGTTCTGACCACCGATAGCGCCGCATTAGTCGACGATACGCGGCGTCAGTGCAGCTCCTCGGTCGCTCTAAAGCCGAGCAGTGATGTGTACTTACAAGAAGCAACGTTCTGGGAGTATAGCCCAATGACACACTCGGCAAACACAGCTGTCAAGTTGCCAAAGGTGCTGCGCCGGCTGATAGCGAGGACTCTGTACTCTGGTTAAAGGGGCCTTTGTGAGTGATTAATGATGTTTGGAGCCTAATTTCAGCATTGAATGTACACTGTGGGCGAAGAAAGCTGTTACCATCTGTAGGGATATTGTATGAATTATTGTGTGTTCGGTTGCGAAGCCACTCAGTTTTCTACATACACACCGGCCGGAGGGGGGGGGGAGAGAGGGCGGGTTTGTTGGAAGCCTTCACTGTTTCGCCTTTCACTGAGCTACAACATCGCCTACAAAATAAACGTGCGCCCCTTTACGAAACACGCCGACTGGTATATACTCAAGTAATTCTAAGGTCTCATGTCAGTCAGTGACCTCTGAGGTCAGGTCAAACGTTTAAAGGTAGAGGTCCAGTTTTTCGTGAATATTTGCAAAAAAAAAAAAAATGGTCGCGGAGCCACGATTCGACCATCGTGCTCGTCATGATCCATTCGTCGGACGATATGCTTTTTGTTTGGTGAAGGTCAAACTAGGGTGTTGACCTCAGGTCTAGGCAAGGTCACAGCTGCTCAGGTTATGAATTTGGTCGAAGGAAGGCACATTGCATAGCATTCGGTTCGATAGGTTCTCTCGAGTCCTTTGGTGGCTATCTCGACTTGTTAGCTCAATTCGGTCGAGAGTTATTGACGAAAAACTTTGATTTTCTCGAGTCAAGCGACCTTTGTGACGTCATAATTGCCATCATATAAGATCTCAATGCAAAACCTAAGCATCAGACCTCATGCGGTATGTAATGAAATCACGATTCCAGGTGCCCGAGATCATCTTTAAATTTCCAACGTCAAAATCAGTGTCAATTTTTATCCCATTGACTCTATAATTGTAAGGTCACGGGACCGATCTGGCTTTAGGCCACCTTTATGAAAATTTGGAATATGCAATTTGTGAGGGATCGGATCTTACTGTTTCAGTTATTTTCATCGTCCCTCGAAAGGCCCTGACTGAGTGCGTTGCAAATTTGCGACATTTTTTTTTACCGTACATACAAAGGTTCGCGTGTGACGTTATAGGTCAGTGACTTGAGTTCGGCTTGAAGCAAAGGTCATGTCAGATTCCTCATCCAGCTTTCCATCGCTAAAAGGCTCTCAGCAGTCGCGAAGCTGTATCCGTGACAGACGATTGTCGTAGAGACTTACTTTAAAAAAAAAAAACACCGAGCATGACGTCATTCTGACCAGGGCTGCGGAGTCAACGGATTTTAGGGTGACTCAGACTCCGACTCCGACTCCAGCTTCAAAAATCGACTCCAACTCCGACTCCAACTCAGACTCCGACTCCGGACGGTTATATCAAAATCCACATAATTATATTGAAGTTCATAATGGAGATGTTTTTACCTTGCCTGAAACGATCCCTTGTGCGTTCCATGGCTTTGCAGTGCAAATATGCATTAAAAATAGCATGCAGGAATAAAAAACAAGTTCTGGAGAATTCACCGTCTTCTGCTTCTTTCAATGAAAATATTCGTCCAAAACAAAAACAAATTGCCTTTTTTCGACAAAACATAATTTCAAGCGCCATATCGTCAATCAAACAGGTGCAGTGCAGTGCATGACGTTGAACCATACAGCGTTAACTCCGACTCCGCAGCGCTGATTCTGACCATTCCGACTAGCATATGATAGCAGCGAAGTCCTTCATCTGACTTCAGCTGTCATATTGATGCAGCAGAAGTTACTGAAAGTTTGGTGTTCATAGGCATCGCAGTTAAGAAAATGTTACAGGAGGGGAAAAACGAGAAGTCATCGGCAAAGGCAAAAGCCTCAAAGGCTAGTCATACATTTTGCAAACTTCCCTCTTTACTGTCCTTTGAAAAATAAAATCCAATTTTTATCAGCGTCACCGGCATGGAATATTCCTTTTTTACTGAACTGGTTTTTACTGATACCTATAGATGATACTGATATTATCTGTTAACCCTAATCATGGATCAGAGGTAGGTATTTACGAGCACGTGTTTGCCTATTGACAGACTCAGACACCACTGAGCCGGTCCGGGGTGTCCGGTTTCAGCGCTCACCGCACCCCGGTCTCGGCAGTTGTAATGAGCGCGAGTTCGTGGTAATCGCTCCCTCACGACGCCGGCCGGCCGTTACCGTGATTTGAAGACCTCTGGTTCCCTGCCAGCGTCGCGCCACTCCTGGATTCTGATTGGTCGACACAGGCCGCCAGAGTCCGCCCGCCCCCAGCCGACGCCACTCGTGACGCTGCAGCAGGGTTTGAGGACCACTGCACGCCCACAGCCGTCGGACCATAATTCTTCCTGTCCACTGCCGAGTTGAGAACCCCATGGCGTCTCGGGACCCGACTGACTACAACTGTGTAGGGCGGCGACGGGCGCCGAGGGCTCACGGCGCTCTGCAAACGGCCGAGCGGGGCCGGGCGCCGACTCGGGGCGACGGATAAACCGAGCCCACCCCAGGAAAACCGACATAACCGAGATCTCAAATATCGAGTACGTCGAGTACCCGCGGCTCTGCAACAGAAAGTATTCGATCGACGTTTTGTGACCACCCCTGTTTGACTGATGATCATCAAACAATCTGACATTTGCACTCGACCGCATAATGTTTCGAAATGTTTGCTAAACGCAAGCCACAGTTCCGAGCGGAGTGGGAACAGGATTCCTCTCATCACCTCGCCATTCTAGCGGTGGTTACACTTTCCGTCAACATACATCAATGCCACTATTGGCACCAGCGCTACTCCCCGTCTGTCCCCTCTCTCTCTATCAGCACACATCCAGGCCGAAATGTATTGCCGCTTAGAGAATTCCGCAGAGCGATAACCGACCAGCACCCACCCAGAGACCGGCGAGCTTCGAGCTCCGACACAGACACGGGCGCAGAGACACGGACAGAAGCACAGCGTGGCCCTCAGCTGAGATCTGTAGGTTGCATGTGACAAATAATCGCGACACCAAGGATACGGCAACCCCAACAACAACACAAACACACAGACACACCGCGCCGCGCCGCCGCACACGATAATGTGGTCCCCCGCGACAGTTGAGGAGGCATTGCACGCCCTCTTGTTTCCTGCTACAGTCGAATCAGAGCAGAACGGAATGGGTAGACAGACAGACAGACGATCAGACAGACAGACAAACAGACAGACAGACAGGGCAGGCTTACACGGGACGGGAACAGGACTCTCTTTCGAGTCATTACCCTCGTAGTAACGCAAAATATTTTTAGCTATTTGCGAAAATGCAGATTTACGTCTAAATAATAAGTCATGCTACTCTTTGCAACACGGATGTTGTGTCAAGCTCATTCGTTACGTCGTTCGGTACCCACTCTGGTGCACCTGTCCTCAGGCAAACCACTCACGAATTACTACCGGAACATTCATAATCAGCTTCCAAAACATCACCGGACCCAAGACATTTATGTCGAGCGGCACTGGAAAATTCAAAACATCTAAATTTATCAACCCTAATCGCTGTTGGAAGACATTCTCAGATCAGGCTATAACCTACATCAGGAATGCAGTGCATCGGCCATGGATGCTTAAATGATGGACATGAAGTGCTCACTAAGACAATGCTCCATCACCATAACACTACACGGCACGCGGGCAAACGCACACGAAGGGAACGCACTTCGCCAGCCCCAAACTACGGTGAAATTCTAACAGGCCGCCCATACGAAAGGACCTGTAACTGTATACATACACGCCCCATTCTCAGTCATTCATGATCAAAAACGACTGCGACAATAGAGATCCAACAACGGAAAACTTCCAATAACTATGGTATAATAAAATTTGTAACATTTATCACATGAATGAAAGTAGCGTCTCCACCATCGGTGCGTTCTTCTAACGCACCCGATGAAGGCTCCCGGTTCCTCATGGTCGTAAGGCCTCACCTCTCGTGGCTCGGCTTAGCTCCGAATCTTCAGCTCCGAATCGTTAGCTCCGCGGCTTTAGCTCCGTAGCTTTAGCTCGGCAGCTAGACCCCGAAGAGCTGCTCCGCGTGCATTCGACGGCTCCGAGCCTGCCGATGCCGACAAGACGGCCAGATTCTCGTGGATGCCGGCGCGCGCTGGGACGCCTCCCTCCAGTGTTCGGACTCGCTGTCCCGGTTCCACATGACCGCACCCTGTCCGGTGGCGTGAAGCAGCCCGCGCCAACAGCAGCACAACAGGTACAGGTACATCACCAGTGCAGCGCGGCCGTCGAGCATTGCACGCGCCGCTCCGACCGGAGAAAATAGTTCTGATAGATTCCACCTCCTCCGGATCCGTCTCCTCCGCGTTCCTCCTCTCCAGTTCCTCCGCGCAGCCGCCGCCACCTGCACCCCTATCACAGTCAGTAGGACTGGCAAGTGTAAAATTTGCACTGGAGACGCGCGTCCGACCTCTAGGGCTGGTCGGCGGCAGGCCCGGAGGCAGGCGACTCGGGCCGCCGGGCGCGCGTCACCGGTCGCGGCGGCGCGGCCCTCTCCCACTGCCACCGACCCGGCTGCGGCCGCTCCTCCTCAAAGTTAAAGTTCCAGCGCTCCGTCTGGGCACGCATCGTCTCCTGCTCGTGCTGGTGCCGCGCGCGCTCCGCCGAGCCCGGCTCGACAGGCCCGAACAGGCGACGGCGCACCAGCATCGAGGGCGCCCGCGGCCCGCCGCCCGCGTCCTCCGCCACCTCGCCGCCGGCTGAGCTGGAGCGACGCAGGCGCTTGGAGCGGCGCGGCGCCGGCGCCGGCTCAGCGTCCCCACTGGAGCTCGAGCTGCGCCGCGTCTTGGTGGAGTCCGCCTCTGGCTCCGGAGGGCCGGCAGAGCTGGAGGCTGCCGCTCCGTTAGCGGAGGGGGCCGCCGGTCGGCTCGGCGGCGGCTCTGTGACGGCCGGCGGTGACGGGGCCGGCTGGTCGGCGACGTCCTCGTCACTGGCGTGGTCCCGGCAGGACATGGCCGACTTCAGCCGGGCCCGAACCGCATCCTACCTGCGGCACACAGGGGTCATCGAGGTCAGGTCACGGAGGTCACCACGGTCAGGTCACATAGATCACCACAGTTGGGTCACGGAGATCGCCAAACTGTTATCGATGTCAGGTCACGGATGTCATCAAGACCAGGTCACAGGTCATCAAGGTCAGGTCACGGAGGTCACCGGGATCATGTCACGAAGGTCATGAAGGTCACGTTAAGGTGGTTATCAAAGGAAGGTCGCGGAGGTCTACACGGTTACGTCACGGAGGTCACCACGGGCAGGTGGTCATGGAAGTCAATAAGGTCAGATCACGAAGGTCATCAAGGTCAGGGCACGGTGGTTACTAAGGTCAGGTCACGGCACGACGTTCAAGGCATCGATTTAAACGAAGATCTTGCGCAGGGGCGTAGCAGCGTACTAAAAGTTATACGTTGACGAATGTCAATTGTCATCGATTCGTGATAACTAAATCGGTTAGGGCGGGGGGGGGGGGGGGTATGGGTGGCAGGACATTTTTGGGCGAGGGGGACTTTCATATGGTGTCTGATCTTCAAAGTAATCATAATACACATGCCCTTTTCGGTCTTACAAATTCCAGAGACGAGTTGCCCGTGCTCATTACCCGTCCCACTGTCAATGCGAGTCCCGAACGCATTCAAAGCCAGAAGCAAAGATTAAGAAGCTCTTGAGAAGACGTTTGTTGTAAATGGATGCAAAAGTGTCAGATTATGCAATGGCATACACACTTTATTTCCGCACTTGTTTGATGGATGTTCGTACAGTAAGAATATAGGTAAGTATGTACATTGTACATTCGCTGTGGCTAGCACCTGGCAAAGCGGGTAATTTATTTACCTACTATTTTCGGTTCCTAGCATGGCTAGGGTTAATGTCTCTCTAAGTCATGAAAACATGCATTGTTGCTTCTATTTTTTTTACAGCGTTGTATTTGGCCAGGACCTGTGACCATGTGATGTTATTCTCTTTTTACAACAGAAGCTTCTAAAACAGAGAAGTCACAGAACTGCACGATATTCGGCGACGGGATGAAGTTGGCTGCTATTGACCACTGTTGGATTTGTGGGGCGTGATTGCTTGGAAAATGCTATGCCTACAATCTCCACTAAGCCAAAACAGCATTTACATCATGTTTAAATCACTGTGTCGGTGTCGTCCCCCACTCCAGAGAAAATCGCACCTCGGTTGACCTGTAATGACTTCTTGCACTTGTATGCCTTTTCGGGGTATTTTGATGCCCTGAATTCGAATTTGCTATCCATTTCAGGCATCGTCGGTTGTTTCTTGTAGTTCATTTTGGGTCAGGGTCAGGTCAGTGACGTCACACGCCTGACGTGACCCAATGCACAAATGACCTTGCAGACTTCCGATGCTCCCAACGCATCATTTTTAGAGTTATGACATCGAAATACACACCAAACGATAGAGAATTGATCAAGGATCACGATAGTGAAGGTTTCAAGTCGATATCTCTTACCGTGTTGCCGCAATCGGCGCGGAAGTCTGAAAAAGTTAGATTTTTCCGAAAATTTGACCTTTGACCGGTCATAAGTAGGTCAAATGTTGACCTAGGACCAAAAAATATACCACCAATCGCGAGATCTCGTTGAGAGCAATCCGTTGGTCCTTTCCGCTAAGCTCTACGACGCTCCGTTTTCAAACGCCAGGGGGGTCGCACCCCCCCCCCTGCATGGGCGAAGGTGGCAAAACACCGTTTACGGGCGAGGGTTAAGGGGAGGGGGGGAACACCGCCGACTTTTGGTCCCATTCTTTCCATGCAACGCCTATAGGGCTAATGTTAAAATGCCAAAATCAAAGGGGGGCACGGTGCCCCGGTGCCCTCCCCGTTCCACCGCCTATGGACAAGCGACCTCGCTTGACCTGGGGAGCTTGAAATGTCCAAACAGTTTGATCAAATGTAGGTTGTGTTACTTTACAACATTACGCGAGATTTCGTTATAAGATAGTGACACTTCGACCGACACTCAACGGGCACTCATCGTGGAATAAACTTAGCGGCTGACAGTGACATTGATATGAGTAAAACCGATAACAGCGGTTGAATCCATGAGATTGATTGAGATAACCATATCATGATTCATGAGTGAGCATCGTCGAGTTAAGCACCGAAAAGGCCGTCTCACGAGCATAGGTGTGTCATTCGTGAATCGTGTGCCCTCGCCTTCAGCAGTCACCGGACAGGTGCCGCCCTCAGCGTCACCAGTAAACCGCCGGTGCCATCTTCAGCACCAGCCGTCGCCAGTGCCACCAGAGAGTCACCAGTGGCCGCCTTCAGCGATCACCAGTGGCCTCCGGTGCCATCTTCGGCACCAGTGTCGCCAGTGAGTCCTTCAGCGGTCACTATTGATCCCCCGGTGCCACCTCGCCAGTGCTCTATGCTGCACCAGCGGGTCACAGTGACAGCCGGCGCCCCTCCGGGGGACGAGGACGGCGGCAGCCTGTTCTCTGAGCTCCAGGGGCCGCCGCCTACCGTCGACGGCGGCCCGGTCAGGGTGCTGACACTGCTGAAGATCAACGACATCGACGTGGGGGCCGCGGCCGCGGTCGAGAACCACTCCCTGTGCACAGTCAGCGGGTGGCTGCACGTCGAGTGGAGTGACCCGCGCGTGTGCCGGCCCAGTAACGCGAGGGTGACGCTGGGCAGAGCCTGGCGACCCGACCTACGCGTCCTGAACTCGGCCTCGGAGATGGCGGCACCGCTGATCGACGACCAGACTGAGGCGCTGGTGCTGCGCCACGGCTGGCTACTGGCCACGGTCCGGGTTCAGTGTCGGGTGCGGGTCACCAAACACGACTCGGGCAGCCACGCGGTGCGTCTGCGGCTGGGCTCGCACCTGCTCACCTCCGAGGACGTCATGTTCCACTCGCTGGACGAGGCCGTGGATGTGACGCACCTCACCGGTAACGATCGGTTCGGCGCGCGCAGGACGTCCCTTGTGGCGGACACATTTCAGGCGCGCCATTTCGGTGGTGAGTTTGTGACGTTCAGCTCAATTGTGGCCACAATTGTGTTCTAGTCTGGATGTCGCAGTTACGCTAATTTAAATTTATTCCTATGTTTTCAATTTCAATCAAGGTAAGCGTCTGTATTTGAACTGTTTGAAAACTGACATTAATGACATGGCGTATTTCATCTGCAAGCATGGGTGGAGAACCTGCCCCGGCCACCCCGGCCGTGGCCGGGGTAACTTTCAGCCTACCCCGGCGCGGCCGGGGTAACTTTTCTACTCTTGTAAATCCTAAAAGCTGTCTCCATACGAGAAAAGAAAACTCATGCTCTTCGAATGTTGACTTCCATGGGCGTAATATTGCAAATCAGGTAGGTATTTATTTTTATTTACTTTTACTTAACTTGTACTTAAATTTACTTTACTTAATTTCATTTACTTAACTTGCCATAATCTCCAACCCTAAGACCCGCGTGTGGTCGCCAATGCCAAGATTGCTCTCAAATCCTGTTCAGTTTCGAAATTTTTATGCGCCTTCGGCGCACTTTTTCAAAGCCACTGCTTGACCTCATTGCCTTCGACTGGCCTGCCACCAACCGCAACCACACCCGTTTATGAGCGTACCCGTCAGGGTGCTCATAAACACCGAGCGGCCATCATGTTTCGAACTCGGACTGTTGTAACCGGGACGCGTGCTCTCGCCACGCGGAGTCCAACGCTCTAGCGACTGAGCTACGTGACCGGGACAGGTCGATATTCCTGGATCGACTCCCTTTTTGTCTTATAAGAGCCGCCCAACATTGAAAAAGGCTGCAGGGCCTATTTTAACATGTTAACTGGGGGGGGGGGCAAATGCCCCCGCACTCAACAGAATTGCCCCCCTAGTCGTCGAGATTTGCCCACTATAAAAATGGGCATAAAGGAACAGGGTGACAAACATACTACGTAACTACTGTGACTTGTTTTGCAATGGATGTCAAATGAGTCAGTCTGTAAGTAATGACCAGTGGTGTATCTAAGGGTGGGTCATATGGGTCATGACCCCCCACCGCCTTGGGGCCCGGGGACACCACAGGCCTGCCAGGGGCACCACCGGCCTGTCAGGGGCACCACAGGCCTGTTGGGAGCACCATCAACCTAGCAAGAGCACCATAGGTCTGCCAGGGGCACCACAGACCTGCCAGGGGCCCCACCGGCCTCGCAGGGGCACCACCTTGGGCCTGTCAGGGGTACCACCACAGGCCCGCCAGGGGCACCATAGGCCTGCCAGAGGCACCATAGGCCTAGCAAGGGCGCCACGGACCTGTCAGGGGCACCAGAGGCCTAGTATGGACACCACATGCCTGGCAGGGACACCACCGGCCTCTAGGGACTGGGACACCTTGGGCCTGTTAGTGGCACCACGTGCCTGTCGGGGACACTCCAGGCTTGTCAGGAGCACCACAGTCCTGTCAGGGCCCAGGGGCACCACCGGCCTCACGTGGACACCACCGGCCTCGCAAAGGCATCATGGGCCTGTCGGGGGCACCACGGGCCTGTCGTTGGAACTTCAGGCTTGTCAGGGGCACCACAGTTCTTTCAGATGCACCGGCGGCCTAGCACCATGGCACCATGTTTGGCTGAGGTCGCGATTCGGCGTATGTCGCCTCGCATTAGCCGCGCGTTTGCAGTCTTTTCGTGGTTTCAAACGTTCAAACATGGGATATGATGTTGCTCCCATGCATTAGGGTGGGTGTCAAGATCACCGGAAGGTCAGGTCAGATCATTTACCTTTGATGACCTCGGTTCACATTTTCGAGTTTTATATGTTTCTAGGCTAGTTTTTGGAGCTGAATTCGAATTAAGCAACCATTTGACCATTTACGAAGTAGTTTTGGTGCCTTCGTAACATGTTACGAAGCTGTCAGAGGCGGTTGCCACCTACTACGAATACCCGGCAAAACCCTTACTGGTTGACCTGGCCTGACCTGACCTGGCCTAAATGCATGAAGACATCATCTACGATCATAACTAACATGATATTCGT